AGGAAGATTCGTCGTAATGGATTCTTCTTTTTTGTTTTATGGCCGTCGAGTGACTTTGGCTACCATTAAAAAGGCGATGATGTCAATTTCATCCAAATAAAGACATGTTGAGAAACGCAACTCAGCTAAAAATACGTTCAAAGGGGGAAAACTTTCTCAGACTCAAACCCTTCATGATAAGCTGTTTAAACAAAAATAATTATCGTCATTTAAAGAAAAAGTATACGATCTCGTTTATTGACCTTAACCCGCATCCTGATGGGGGGGGGGCTATTTTGCCCCCCTGTGGTTTTTCTTAAATAGCGAGAAAACGGCGGCGCGCAGCGCCGCCAAATTTGGTTACTTTACTGGGCATCAATTTGACACCTTCACACAAAACTTCAAGTCACAGGTCACCTTAGGTCAGGAGTTATTGAGGTCAAACTGAGGTCATGTTCGAGTGAAAATGAGCAAAAAACATGACATCTTGAAACGCTCACCAATTCTACAGTTAACAAGCAATTTTAAAGTTATTTATGTGGTTGTGTAGAGAAAAGACGGCGCTACAAAACTGCTATCTCGGATGTTCGAAATTTTGGGATTTTGACCCCAAAAAATAAAAAAAATGATTTTTTTAGAAAAACTCAAACAATTTCCAATTTTTTTTGGAATTTCCAAAAAACCGGAATATATGTGATATTCCCTGCGCTCTTCGATATACATGCCAAATTTTAGATTGATACCTCTTTTTTTTGGCCAAGTTATAGCGAAAAAAAACTTAAAAATTGATGACGTCAAATTTTTTAACTCAATTTTTAGCAATTCTAGACCTCGTAGCGCAAAACGGAGACCACCGTTGAACTCCCCGTGACAAGCTGCATCGAATCGATACCCATTTTATGCAAAAATATCAACTTTGAAATTTGACCTAATTTGACCTGACCTTGACCTGACCTTGACCTGACCTTGACCTGACCTTGACCTGACCTTGACCTGACCTTGACCAAAACGTGACCTAAGCTGGCCCAAAAGTCTGCCTGACCCACATTATCGCATTTGTCATGTAAAATGGACCATAAAACATGTATCACACGACACTTCATATTGTGACCCCCCAAGTGACCTGACCTCTGTGACCTGACCTGGTATCAGTGACCTCATATAGCAAAATATGTGTTTGAAGAACATTTCCCCATCGATGATTTTCAATGAAATGCATTTTACTCGATTTTACAACGCATTTCTTGAAATGCCTGTAAACGGTGAAAATTCGACCTTTGACCTGACCTGTGACGTCAACGGTTTGACTGAGGTCAATGAAATTGGGTCACAAGGTAGTTCACCGTTGGGGCTAGCCAACGCCGTTTACCGCTTGTCGCTATGTTGCGTGGTTCTCGAGATCTTAGGGGGGGGGGGGCCAAAATGCCCCCCATCAGACCGCGTTGCTCGGCAGACCCTATCTGGGCGTGGGTTAAGCTTGCCATTCTTGTCTAGTTATTGTTAGCGGAATGGTACTTCTTATCAGAAATACGTTATAAAGGATTCTGCAGTAGATAGAAGTTAGTACCAATGCAAGAATGAACAAATTTTAAAATAACTACTATAACAACATATTATAAATATACCGGGTGGCCCAGAAAAAAACGTTCCCAATTTTAAATCAATATTTCTCAGAAAGTGATAAAGATACAACAATGAACCTTCCAATAGTCAATGCGGCATATATTTTCAGTAAATGGTATGATATTTATGGTATTCGGTTAATTACTTTTTAAACGGGTCGTGTTTCTAGCATGCCATATAAAAATCACTTTTTTGTTCAGATGTTTACTAAAAATGTCAGTGAACGGGCTACTTCCATCTCGGCACCACGGCCCGCAGCCATGACTGCTACTGGCACTAGTCTCATTGATGGTTCAGGCCTCAGGGTTACACATTCCCTCTAGCTTTTTTCCTTATTCGGTCGATTTACTATTTGATCTTGAAAGGAGGGCGATCAGCTGTAACCCATGCACCGTGCCACTCCTTTTGCTCGAAACAGAACTTGTGTTGAAACGAATGGCATCCATTAACACAATTTTGGCTTAGTATTGGATATTTGATACTTACGTGGGACAAAAATATTAAAAATAACAACACACGTGCTGGTATCATTCACGTGTTCTATTTTTTCTATTTTTTTTTCTAACATGGTACGTCTAAGCCAATCATTACTCGGTCGATTTACTATTTGATCTTGAAAGGAGGGCGATCAGCTGTAACCCATGCACCGTGCCACGCCTTTTGCTCGAAACAGAACTTGTGTTGAAACGAATGGCATCCATTAACACAATTTTGGCTTAGTATTTGGATATTTGATACTTACGTGGGACAAAAATATTAAAAATAACAACACACGTGCTGGTATCATTCACGTGTTCTATTTTTTCTATTTTTTTCTAACATGGTACGTCTAAGCCAATCATTACTACCGTTCAACAACGGCAAAAAAGCAAAAATGTCTTACTTAATTCAACATAAGATTGCTGGCTTGAAAATGATGGTACAGTGTTATAATTTGGCATACCAATGCGCAAAGAAGTGACGCAAACCTGATGAAAATTTTGGCTCGTTATTCGCACTAGAATTTGAGATATAGGCCTCCAAAGTTCGGAACGTTTTTTTTTTTTTTGGCCACCCATATTCAAACTTAAGTTTCCTAATATGGACTTCGTTCCCAATCAAAATTGTGAAAATGCAAACTAAAATATAACTTTATAGTCGCACGATGGGTAACGCCACATAAACGATAGCCTCTCTCACAAGGTTACTTACGCCATGACTTAGGCTGAAACATAATACTGCAGATAAGAGTGTCCTGTAGCAAGGCACTTCTTCCTTACCGATCGGTGCATGTGCGTGGCGTGAACCAAGTGCCCGGTTACCATGTGTCAAAGCATGCCTTTGCTCTTTGGGTCCACACTTCTGCATCATTTAGGGGCCATTACGTGATAGGTTGCGAACAGAACAGATTAAACGCTGGAAGGGACTGCATAATTCATTCGGTAGCAGGTTCATGACTGCGAATTGGAATGTAAGTTACAGCGTGGTAGCTTCAGTGTGCCACTGCTTTGGCGTTCAGCGTGACATAGAAATAACTGTAACATCACTGATGGTATCTGGCTTGGGAATGCTGGTATAATTATGGCTCCTGAGATTGGGGAGAATTTCCCATGGGGCGAAATAAACGGGGTTACAGGGGAATGGTGAATGTTCCGGAATTAGACCTTTTATCTCGTATGCAGTAACAGACATCGCGCTTCTCCCAAAGGATGCGGGTCACTGGGTTGTGGAGGCATTTATGGATAAGTGTTTGGTGGAAAGAGGAATCCTTTTCATCAGAAAACATCAGGCGAAAAAAACAGCATAGTAGTAGATGCCAGTGAATCTCCGTAGCTTACGGGCTTCGTCAGTGAAGCGCGGTTTATGTCTATGTGGCCCTGTTGAACGCTGCTGCGCCCAGCCCCGAGGCAACCCAGCCGTCAGAGCTCTGTGAATGTCTACCAGCCGCGCGCCCCCGCCCCGCCCCTCCCCTCCCCTCCCCCTTCCCCAGCTTCATCGCTAATGGCTGTCGGGCCGGGCCGCCGCTCAGAGCCCCCTCTCTCCCTCCTCCCGTGCTCTACCCGGTCGAGACTTCACTCGGGGCCGGATATTCCAGCTGCGCAGCCGAGGCCGCCATCAAAGCCCTCCCTCCCTCCCCCGCCCCTCTCCCCTCCCCCTCCCCTCCCCAGGGGTCCCTGCAGCTGCCTGTGACAGCCGCGGAGGAGGGGAGGGGCAGAGGGGGAGCTGCTGCCACGCTGGCTCTCTGGAGTGAGAGGAGAGAGGGCTCGAGCCGACACAGAAGCTGCTCCTTTCCTCTCTCCTCGGGGACCGTGCTGCGGACTCTGCGCTCGCTGGCGATAAGGCTGCGTTTTAACGAGCTCGCAGACACCCAGATTTGGGCGGCGATTTATAATTCACATCTACTGGATCACAGGTACCGAAAAGAAATTCATACGACACTTATGGAACAGCTTGAAAGGCATAAGTGCCGGTACCTACTAGTACTAGCCCTTCATTTTATCAACAATTTTATGATCGCTAGTGTACATACCAGCGAACGCCGATACCACCGAAGGCCTGAAAACGCTCCAAGTCGTGAGAAGGGTGTAGGGAGGAGCGAGAGAGTAGAATGGGCTGCAGGCTCGCTCTGAAAGGTTGGGCTGTATTTGGAGGCACGGTGGACCGGCCGAGACCCCGGGTGAGAGAGGACACTTGCGAGCGCCTGTAACTGTGAGAGCGTGTGCTGAGTGAGAGAGCGCTCACAATAATGCCCTATCGAATTTCTCGTGTAGCTGTCATGTAGCGCTTGATATCATTACAGCTTGCGCCTGAAGGATACTGTACCGCACAACTCCAAACCTATGTTATACCGCTACCGGTAGATGTCACTACAGTGATCGCCTGAAGTTATACTGTACCGCATGGCGCATGGCATAAACAAACGAAGTAAACAAAGTTAACTACGTAAGAAATAGCACCGGTAGTCGGAAAGTATCTCACTAATGATGACATCGCAACTCCTAAGGCTTCCCACGGGTGCGTGAACCGGTTGTTATTGAACAAAACTTGACCTTGATCGTTCCTTTTTCAGATCGGCATCAACCCGGGACTGGTGGCGGCGTTCAAGGGGCATCATTACGCCGGGCCTGGAAACCACTTCTGTAAGTTACCATAGTTTAGCTTGGTACCATTTGAAAGAAAAACTCTTTTTATAAAGTCCACGCATTAGGTAACTCGTATTCAGGAAGGACTACAATTCAAATCAATTAAAAATACTAACGGCTGTGTTCACTGTTCCCGTATGGTATTTCATTTCCAACCATCGGAAATCCATCCGATATTTTTTTTTGCAATGTCGGTTTGATTGACTCCTTGCTTTGCAGCGTTATTCTAGGTTGGCTTCGACATGCTTTTCTTACATATATCCATTAAATTATATGAAACCTTTTACCGCGATCTCCTTTTTGTTGCTCGCTATATCAGAATTCATTGCGACCAGGAAACACAAGAGACGCCCTACACCTTTTTGAAGGTCCGGTTGGGTGGTATGATTTAACAGCCGCGGACCTGGCGTGTATCGCCGCCGTATTCCCACCTTCCACTAACGTCGTGTCCCGCCCGCCTGTTCCACCTCTCTCAGGGAAGTGCGCCTACCTGGCCGGCCTCATCCCTGAGCCGCTGGGTGCAGAGGATGACTTCCGGCTCATCGACCTCAAGATCGGCTTCACCAACATTGTGTCCCGCACGACCAAGGGCAGCCAGGACCTCACGCGCAAGGAGATCAAAGAAGGTTAGTGCGCGCCCGCCCTGGTCAAAGTACGCTTGGTGTGTTATTCGAGAATGTGCGTAAGGTACCGCTTAGAAACATTCAGAGCTCAGTGCATGCATATAAATACCGGTGAGCAGCGGAAAAGATTGGGCCACTTCAGAATCCAAAGATACGACCGTTAACAAAGTCAAAGGACTTAGCTGTTTGGGTCAATGGTAGGGGAAGTTGGGGCAATGCCGGAGTTGGGGCAAAGCCGAAATTCGAGATATTTCTAAAACCGTACGACATGGATGCCACGTCTCAGTGATGCTCTGAAGCTTAAGTGACTACAATTATCGCACGTTTGTTATGAGTCGTCATTTGGAATACTTCGGCTGTGAGGGCGCCAAAAGCGTTTTCAAGGTACGTTTCCTTGTACTACATGCGCCTTTGAAGCTGCATTTCTTACTCATTATGCTACCGTTTGTCTGGCCAATTCGGTCAAGTAATCTTCAGCATGTCTTTGCATAAGTGTGCTGCCTATTTGAAATTTATACAGCACGTTTAAAAGTTATGGGCCTGCAAATGAAAGTATGGCTGGCTGGGGTAATGCCAAAAACGTGCAATTACGCACGTTAAAGCACGCTACGTGGACTTTACTGTTGTAGAATAGCAACGCGTATTTTTAGTCAAACAACTTACACTTTCAGCCGGCACAACGGCCTGTTACCTATAAGGAATGATTTGCCTGGCATTTTCTTATTATATCACACAATTATAACTTCCAGTGTGCACCAAGCGTCCTCAAGCTCTTAAAACGCGTGTCAGCTTTGATGAATTTTGGATAAAGTTTGAGATAAATTGGCAAAACATCAATGTCGGTATTCCTCGTAGATCATTTATCCCATTTTCGGCTTTCCCCGCAGTCCGGGGCAACGCCGAAAAAGTCAGTTCTTTGATATTTTTAGTTTTTGCGCTTAACGGTATGCGAATTCATCAAATGCGCCTGGTATGTTTGAAAGACAAAAGACTGGCCTCTCGAATGACGCCAACAAGAATAGCTTATGTTGTCTACCTTGCGTGCTACGGGCGTCAGAAAAAAAGTGTTCGGCGTTCCCCCAACTTCCCCTAATTAACTGATAACTGGTCTCTTTCAGGTGCGAAAATACTGCTTCAGAAGCTCCAACTATTTCAACCAAAGATAGCAGTTTTTAACGGCAAAGGCATCTTCGAAATATTTTCTGGAAAGAAGGAATTCCTCTTTGGCAAGCAGCCAGAGAAAATCGAAGGCACACAAACGGTAAGCTCTCTTTGAATACGCCGCTCGCTAACCTATTACGTTGGCTATTTGAGTTTTCAATGGTATTTGCTGCTCCTGATGAATGATAGCCCGGGCTCATATCCGTTTTACGTTCTGATTGAACTTAGAATAGAGATATTCATAGTTCCATATTCCATACCCTTCCGAAACACTCTGCCGCATGCATAAATAGTAGATTCCATGACAACTGAGTCATGAACAGTCTCAACTGAACCAGTGGACAGTTGAACCGGTGGTCATATGAAACAGGCAGCATCAAGCCTAGCAACGAGCTTGTGGTGAAGTGGTGCAGTTGTCTACTGCTTCAGTTGTTCGCTGGTTCAGTTGTTCGTTTACAAGTCTTTGGCATCTCAATGGCTTGCGACTGTTTCAATAAGTAATTCATGACTTTTTTCCACCGTTCGATTGTTCCAATTTAACTCCTCGGCTGTCATAGTATGGTGTCTAAGTGTTTGATAAGTTCATCCTGAAATGTGGCACTTTCTTTTTGTCTTAATCCACCGTGCCCTCCCGTCCTCTTGTGGCCCTCAGAACATCTGGGTGATGCCCTCCTCGAGCGCCCGGTGCGCCCAGCTACCGCGCGCCCTCGACAAGGTGCCCTTCTACACGGCGCTGAAGAAGTTCCGCGACCATCTAAACGGCGAGATCCCTGAGCCAGCCGAGTCAGAGCTCACCTTCGAGCCACCCAAACCTCCGGCGGCCCGCCAGGACCGGACACCGCCCTCGGAGACAGCCGACGGCGCGGAGGGTGTACCCCCGGGCAGCCAGCCGGGTGACCCTGCCGCCGCCGGACTTACCGTACCCATCAAGAAGAAACGTGGCAGACCCCGCAAGATTCGACTAGATGAAAATGGTGTGCCGCTACCCGAGACGGCGCCCAAACCACGCAGGGCGCCGCCGGCTGACCCGAACAAGAAGCGAGGACGGCCAAAGAAGAGCAAGACGGAGGCGGCGGGTGAAGCGGCGCCTGGCTACCCGATGGACCAGTCGAGTCCCGGGGTGGGCGGCTGCGGGGCTGGGTTCGGCCCAGGAGCGTACCCGGGGTACGGGGGAGGGCCGCAGCAGGAGCCAGGGATGTACGGAAGTGGGCAGTACCAGCAGTACGGCGGACAGTTTGGTATGGTCGGCGGACAATGGGGACAGCCCGGTCAGTACGGACAGCCCCCGGCACACTACGGCGGGCCGTACCCGGGACAGTACGGCCCCGAGTACGGCCCACCCGCGGGCGGTCCCGGATCCGGCCCGTACATGACACCGCCGTCCGGAGGATACGGACCAGGGGAACACTACGGCGGGGCGCCGGGCGATCAGTACCAAACCGGCACGCCCTACTCACAGATGGGGCCATACGGTCAGCCGGGCCCGGACCAGCACGGCGCGGCACAAACTGGTCAGTACGGCCCGCCGAGTGACCAGCACGGTCAGCCCTCTCACAGTCAGTACGGTCAGATACCCGGCGAGCAGCACGGCCCGGTGACCGGTCAGTACAGTCAGGCGCCGTCCGAACCCCAGCCAACCCCGCCGGGGCAGTACGGTCCCCCGCCACACGGGAGACACGGCCCGGGTGGTCAGTACAGCCAGCCGCCGGCCGAGCAGCCGTCAGCGGGCCAGTACGGGGATCAGCAGGGCACGCCGGGCCAGTACGGTCAGCCGGGATCGGACGGTCGGCCGCCGTCAGGGCCGTACCCGCTGCCCCCGTCCAGCCAGTACGGCGGCTCGGCGGCGGCCGGGCGGTGCAGCCAGTCGCCGGCTGGGGACTACACACCCTCACCCACTCCCACCAGTCAGTACTTTCCGTCACCGGCGAGTCATTACACCCAGTCGCCGGGGAGTCAGTACAACCCGCCGTCATCGGGAGACCAGTGTGTGCCGTCACCGGCGGCCCAGTACAGCGCCTCGCCCCCGGGGCAGTACACTCACTCTCCTCCGGGACAGTACTCGGCGTCACCGACAGCTCCGCAGTCGCAGCTGCAGCCGGGCGGTGGGACGTACACTCAGCTGCTGTCAACTCCGCACCCCCTGCCGCCGAGCCAGTCGCCCGGAGCGCGGTTCCCACCGTCGCCCTCAGCCCAGAGCGGCGTGCAGTCACAGGCTCAGTCACCGCAGTACACTCAGCTGCTGTCCAGTCGTCAGTCCCAGTCCCAGTCGCCGCCGGGACAGCGGCTGCAGTCGCCGTCGGGACAGTACTCGGCTTCCCCAGCCAGTCGATATCCCGCCTCCCCGGCGGCGGGGCACTTCACCCCGCCGGCCAGCGGGCCGCCGCCGTGGCATGGGGCACCTGCGGCCACACCCAGACCTGGACCCGGTCCCGGATCCGGAGCTGGACCCGGAGCCGGGCCGACGACACCGGTCGGATACCGTCACAGTCCGGCTCCGCTCAGTTCTGGAGCCGGGACTAGCGGGCAGGCGTCACCCGCTGGAGTCACCCCTCCTCCAGCAGCGTCCCCGGCTACCAGGACCCCTGACAAGGAGCCGTCGCGCTCGACGAGCCCTAGCGCCGGCGAGCAGCGGCGCCCGCCGGCGGCGAGCGACCGCCAGTCGCCGGCGCACTACCCCTCCGGCCCTCCGGCGGGGGCGATCGATTTCTCGCAGCACCAGCCGCCGGCGGGCAAGGCGGACCTGGCGACTAAGTCTCTGTCGGACCTGGAGTCGCTGGTGGATCAGATTCCCAGTCTGGGCGGTGGTGAGGGGATGGCGCCGGCTCCGGCTCGCCATACCGCTCCACCGCCGCCGCCGCCGGTACGACCATCCCTGGAAGTGGCCCCGTCTCCGCCCGGTGACCCGTACGGCCGTCTGTGCGCGCCGTACCCGACCCCGGCCGGGTACGGCTACTGTCCGGCGCCGTACAACTCCGGCGGCCAGCCGAGCTCAAACTTCTCGGTGGCCGCGCTGACCGGCGGCGCCGTGTCGCCCCCCGCGTCCGGCGCCGGCGGCCCGTGCCCCGGCCCGGCGCCGGCTGCGGCCGAGCTCGGTACCACCGCCGGTCCGTACCCGTACTCGGCGTACGGGGCGCTGCCGTACGCGGCCGGGCTGCACATGCCGCCGCCGCGGTACGCCTATCCGACGGGGTACGGCGCGCCGGGGTACCACCACCCCGGGTACGCGCCACCACCGGGACTGGAGCGCCTCAAGCCCGATCATTTGGACGCCCGGTTCGGAGCGTTCTAGAGACAGTTGGGAGGGGAGTGAGCGCGATATTATAGACTTCCAGCGCGGGCCCAAGGGGCGAGCTGCTTCGTTGCTCACCAAGTTCGATAGCAGAACCTCGCGAAGCGATGTCGGTTGTGACGCTAGTCAGTCTGAACTGCGTTGTACTCATTTTTATCGATGTTTTTTTGCGAAAAGCTATCGTTTGCCCAATCGATTAATTGCGTTGTCTTGATCTCGTGTTCATGATATTGATCTCATGTTTATGATATTGATCTCATTGTGCTGCTCACGGCGTTGTTCTATGTATGTCAAAGGTGTTATTTCGGCGCTACTCTATGTTTTGTCCGCTTGCCGTGACTCGCGAGCATGAGGCGACGGAACAGCTCCATTGCCCGGGCATTGCTACCGGCTCCATGTACAAACGATCTCAAATGAGCTTTGTGTGGGTCGCGGGCGTGCCGGCCGTCGCGTTTGGTAGCTAGTCTATTCTGCAGAGCTGCATGGAAGGACAATCACAGGGTACGGTGCATTGGCGTGTGTAATGTGTTCTACTTATTGCACAATCGCTTGCCGAGGCGAGCACGGCCGCTTCCACAAGCAGCAGAGTGCAGCAATCGTTGCCGACACATCAGTATTGCACAGAGCCATCGAAAATGGCAGGGTTACGCGCACAGCGCAACGAAATAGTATTTTTCATTATCCATATTCGCAGACATTCGTTTACAATCACCCTCATTCTCGTTGTGTATCTTTGTACTGGATGGCTGTTTTCTCCAGTCGGCGCGCTGTTTTCAGCACATGTGTGTTCCAGTTGTGATCTTGTTTGGAGCACCTGCCAGCGTCCATAGGTTTGGCGGCGCCGCTCGGTCATCTGGTCATCCGCATTCCGCGCGGAACTGAGCGGAACTCCGCCCCGCTCGTCTGGCCGGCAGTGTCCGACCTGCTGCGATATCGGCAGTCCGCTGGGTCGGCTCCTCTCGGCAGAACGCTGCCCAACGGCTCTAAGCTCCGACAGCAATAGAATCTCGGCGGCGGCCCGTGCGCACGCGCCCAGGCCCCGTTTGCTCAGCGCGAATGTCGCCGCCGGTCGACCTGCGTCCGGTTTCCAGCGTGTAACGAGCTCCGTCGCCCCCAGCGGCGCTGTGATATGGCTCGGCGGCGCGGCCGGGGCTTCTCTCGGGACCGGACGCGGATCTCGTGACGCTCTCAGAGCGCCAGATCGCTAGATCTGTTTGTGTAGCGCCGGTGCCGGCTCGCGCGCAGGCCCCAGGTGGAGTGTTCGGTCGTTTGGTGGGAGAGGTGTGTCCAGAACTGGTGTGGACTCTCGCCGACGCAGAGAACCCCTCCGAGGTAGCGATGCCGCGTTAGTAGGGATGGTCGGCTCGCCACCGTGCAATATGGACTCGTGTGTGCGTGTGTGTTCGTGTGTGTGTGTGTTGGCCGGGGCATCAGGTGCCAAAGCGTCCCCGGGTGGGCCTCTCGGCCGGATCAGTGTCCAGGCCACACGGGGAACCGTCGCCGCATTTCTGTTTGCTGTAGATCAGTTGGCCACCGGTGTCGGAGTGTTGGGGACCGGGGATGCCGGAATATAATCACTTGCATCAATGCGGGAACTGTGTATGAGCACGCTGCTTAGTCGAACATTCTGCTTCCGTAAAAACAATGACTACTATTGTGTCACCAAACGTACGAAAGTTTGATTATAGGGAAGAGATACTGAATGAACAGCAAAAGATAGTACGGTCAGATAAGACAGGCAGCAGCTAAACTACCAGACCGCAAGGCTTTAACCCGCGCACCGACGGAGGGGGCGGATATCCGCCCCCCCTGAGGTTTTTCGCGAATAGCGGGAAAACCGCGGCGCGTAGCGCCGCGAAATTTGGTACAAATATTTCCTCATCAATTTTACACATGGTGTGCAAGTTTGAATCTCCTACCTTTCAAGGTCAGGTCACCAGGTCACTTTGAATGACCCAACCTCAAGTCACTTTTTTGCAACTTTGTCACCGTGCCAGAGCTACAGTAGATGTCGGAGGCCTTTGAAAGTCGCAGGATGTTATTAGGTCATTAGTAGCTACAATTTTTATATCTCGGAATTTTGATATCGGTGACCTAAGGGCAGGTCAATTTCGCGACCTCCCCATTATAAGTCAATGGGGGGAAAAATCAACTCCCTGTTTTTACCACTAAAACGGGTCGGAATGGCCCCATATACCATACATGACTTCATATACGATCAACCTTCACTACCTTGAGGTCTGTTTTTGTTTTGCTGTTGGGCAGCTTTGAGGTCATGTGACGTCATCAAAGGTCACCAAAGGTTTTTGGCCAATAACTCCGTACAGGAACAAGATACAGACGCGTGGATGGTCTCATTGTGTTCAGCTCGTCAAGACGCATCGAATGATATACACGATGACCTCGAGGTCACGTGACCTGAGGTCAACCTTTGACCTTGACCTTTCGAGGTCAACGTATATATCATTCGATGCGGATTGACGAGAGGATCACGATGATGCCCTTAGTTTGTTCCTATCTTGACTAATTCGAAAGTTATTCGAGAAAAACTCTCTCCATATCTAGCGCCGCCATTTTGAATTTTTCGACCCCTGTGACGTCATCTTTGACCTGACCTGAAAATGACCTTTGTAAAAAATTGTAGATCTTGACCGTGCGTATCCGATGCCGTTTACCGCTTGTCGCTATCTTGCTTCGTTCTCGAGATCTCAGGGGGGGGCGGTCATCCGCCCCCCCCCCCGTCGGTGCGAAGTTGGCGCAGACCCCCGTCGGTGCGCGGGTTAACAGGGTGCTGATATTTTCATTCGAGATGATAACCATATCGGTATAAGTAGCCGGCGTAAGCTGAGAATGAGCTTAAGAAATCCCCTAAAAGGCATATGTATTTTTTATCAAATCAAATAAAAGTTTACTTAATTATGACTGATTTGATTACTATGATTATACATGGGTTCTTTTGTTTCCTATCGCCATTTATCACTGAGGCATGAAGGAGATTTCATTGAAAATTCACGGTAGTTATATGTGTTAAATGGTACCAAAGTAACATTATTATATAAAACAAATAGCACTCTATCCTGTCACTGAGATAAGCCGAACCTTACAAAGATATCAAATGAAAACTTTTGTTCTGCCGTCAGTAGGTTGCAGCACACCGCCCGCGGCGCTCCCTTTCGCCGCGTGACCAGCGGTACAGCCTACCTTCAGGCGGTCGATAGCAGAGCCATCTATGAGCAGCCCCTCGTACTAGTTTGCATCGAGCCGAATGGTTTGCAATCTTTGAAGTTCTTGGTAGTGATTTCAGAGCAATATACATCACAGATGCAATGAAATACTTCTACACCTTTTTAGGCGCAATTTCAAAAATTTAAAGACCAAATTCAAAAAGTTTACATTCAAAATGCACGTGAACGTTTTGAATTTGGTCTTTAACTTTTTGAAATTTCGCCTAAAATGCTGTAGATGGATAAGTTCACAGCATCGGAGGTGGACTGCCTTTAAATCGTCAGCTTGGCTCTTCAACTTGATAATAGACTCAATCCGAACTGTAAGGTCGAAACGGAGAACAACCAAATGCATCAGTGAAAGCGCACTGCTCGATTCCTGTGTATTTGATGACGAGTGCAGAACAGAGATTGAATGCCCTCACCCTTGCCGCCCGTACCGCCATATTCACCTAACCTGAGGCTCTGTCCGGGCACGTATGTGAGGTGGGCAAGGGAGGGAGGCGTACGGCCAGTCGCGGGGGCCGGGGGGAGGGGGCTCGGATGAGTGTATGAAAGCGCAAGCATAACGTTTAACAAACTAAATGCTTCCATATTGAAAGTGGCCGTCGCTTCAGCGCTACTCAGAGTGTATGAAGACCATATTGGAACACCGTTTATAGTTCTATACAGCTATAAAGAATCCAGCTATATACAATTCATGCATATCAAGCTTCCAAGTTAGTTTCAGGATTTGTATAAGCACATCCATATGCTATTTCATATACAAAAATGTTGTAAGTTACGAAATGAGCTTCCTAAAATAGCGTGAACACTTTAAAAGATATATTTATATATGAGTGCATTATGTACTTGCCTGTATATGTACCAGTATAACGCCTTTTGTGGCGACTAACGGAGCGAGCGAGAGGGTGGGCCTTGCACGTGCGAAATTGCGAGGGGGTACCTCCAACTGACTTGCGCACGGCACCTTACTAGCCGGTCTCTAGCGATGTGCCAAATTTGAGCACAATCGGCCCAGCCGTTCTCGAGATCTGGAAGCGGCACCCTGCACGTGCGCACGTGCAAAATGGGTCCCAACTGACTTGTGCACGGCACCCTACTAACTGCTCCGTAACCGTGTACCAAATTTGAGCGCAATCGGTCCAGCCGTTCTCGAGATCTGGAAACGACCCCTGCACGTGCGCACGTGCAGCAGCACCCCAACTCTGGCACATGGATATGCATTGCCTAGTGCGTGCCTACCTACATGCCAACTCTCAGCGCAATCGGCCCAGTAGTTACCGAGATATTGCAACAATTACAAAAGTGACACCTCTTCGTTTTGCACGTGGCACGTGCATTAGGGGTTACCCACATGCATCGAGAATAGTGCAATACTTGGTAGAAGGAATGAAGCTACCCTACAAAAATTACCGCATGTAAATCGGTCAAGTGGTTGCTGAGATATAAGCCTCGCAAAAGCGTGACCACGGCCGGCCGGCCGGCCGGCCGCTCATCTATCTATATTATAAATCCTAACCAGTATAACGCCTTTTGTGGCGACTAACGGAGCGAGCGAGAGGGTGGGCCTTGCACGTGCGAAATTGCGAGGGGGTACCTCCAACTGACTTGTGCACGGCACCTTACTAACCGGTCTCTAGCGATGTGCCAAATTTGAGCACAATCGGCCCAGCCGTTCTCGAGATCTGGAAGCGGCACCCTGCACGTGCGCACGTGCAAAATGGGTCCCAACTGACTTGTGCACGGCACCCTACTAACTGCTCCGTAACCGTGTACCTAATTTGAGCGCAATCGGTCCAGCCGTTCTCGAGATCTGGAAACGACCCCTGCACGTGCGCACGTGCAGCAGCACCCCAACTCTGGCACATGGATATGCATTGCCTAGTAGGTGCCTACCTACATGCCAACTCTCAGCGCAATCGGCCCAGTAGTTACCGAGATATTGCAACAATTACAAAAGTGACACCTCTTCGTTTTGCACGTGGCACGTGCATAAGGGGTCACCCACATGCATCGGGAATAGTGCAATACTTGGTAGAAGGAATGAAGCTACCCTACAAAAATTACCGCATGTAAATCGGTCAAGTGGTTGCTGAGATATAAGCCTCGCAAAAGCGTGACCACGGCCGGCCGGCCGGCCGGCCGCTCATACTCAGAAATTTCCGTTAATCTAAGGAAAGACTACGCTCGCTTCGCTCGCTCCGTAAAAAGTACCCCGCCGCCGTGTGCGACGTAGTCACTTTGTAGCGCTTATTGCGGCGGCGTCCGTTGACCTACGGCCGTGAAATTTTACAGCGATGTGGGCCACCTTTACACGTAGGTCGTATTAAATTTTGGGCATGATGCGGCCGGGGGTGCGACCTTGGCGCGTGCTCGCGTGCCCATAGGGTTAACATTAGAAATGGCAAAAACACACTATTGCTCGGGAACGGTAAGGGCTACGGGGGTGAAATTTTCACTGCAAGTCGGACGCGTGCACTCATTTGTCGTATTAAATTTTCGAGGGGGTTGGTTCAGCGGTGTGCACGTGGTGGGGCCGCGACCGGCGCCGAGCAGAGGGCACGTGCTTTAGGCTCAGTTGTTCGCTTAAAAAACTGAGCGGGCCGGCAGGTCATTGACCTTTGACAACGAAGGCCGACACAAGGCACCGCTCGCCAAGAGGATTCGCCAGTAAATACAATTAATTTGTTTTTGCAATATCTCAGCCGTTTCTGGGCCGATTTAGC